GCTTGAACCCAGGAGGCGGCGGTTGTGGTGAGCCAAGATTATGCCATTGCACTCCAGCCTGGGTGACAAGAGTGAAACTCCATCTCAAAAAAAAAAAAAATACTAAAGTTTACAGATAAATTATGCAAAGATAAAGAACAGTGGATGGAAAGTCTACTTTTTTTTTTTTTTTTTTTGAGACGGAGTCTAGCTCGTCGCCCAGGCTGGAGTGCAATGGCACAATCTTGGCTCACTGCAACCTCCACCTCCCAAGTTCAAGCGATTCTCCTGCCCTAGCCTCCTGAGTAGCTGGGATTACAGGCACGCGCCACCAGGCCCGGCTAATCTTTGTATTTTTAGTAGAGACGATGCTTCACCATGTTGGTCAGGTTGGTCTCGACCTCCTGACCTCGTGATCCACCCACCTCGGCCTCCCACAGTGCTGGGACTACAGGCATGAGCCACCACGCCTGGCCTGGAGGGTCTACTATTATAACAACAGTCTGACACATTTGCACTTAAAAATGCCCATCACAAACCAGGCACAGTGGCTCATGCCTGTACTTTAGGTACCCGAGGCAGGAGGATCGTTTACACCCAGGAGTTTGAGACTAGCCTAAGCAACATAGTGAGACCCCCATCTCTACAAAAAATTAAGACAAAGAAAATTAGCCAGGCATAGTGGCACACATGTGTAGTCTTAGCTACTTGGGAAGCTGAGGCAAGAGAATCACTTGAGCCCAGGAGTTGGAAGCTGCAGTGAGCTACAACTGGGCCACTACACTCCAGCCTAGGAGTTTTTGAAGAGACCGTCTCTTAAAAAAGCCAGGCGTGGCCAGGCGTGGTGGCTCACACCTGTAATCCCAGCACTTTGGGAGGCTAAGGTGGGCGGATCACCTGAGGTCAGGAGTTTGACACCAGCCTGGCCAACACAGCAAAACCCCAGCTCTACCAAAAAAAAAAAAAAAAAAAAAAAAAATTAGCCAGGCGTGCTGGTGCACGCCTGTAGTCCCAGCTACTCAGGAGGCTGAGGCAGGAGAATCACTTGAACCCAGGAGGCAGAAGTTGCAGTGAGGCAAGATCATGCCACTGCATTCCAGCCTGGGCGACAGAGTGAGACTCCGTCTCAAAAAAAAAAAAAAAAAAAAAAAAAAGGCCAGGTGTGGTGGCTCATGCCTGTAATCCCAGCACTTTGGGAGGCCAAGACAGGAGAATCACTTGAGACTAGGAGTTCAAGCCCAGTCTGGGCAACTGAGACCCCGTCTCTACTTAAAATGCAAATGACAGCCAGTGCAGTGGCTCACCCCTGTAATCCCAGGCCAAGGTTGAGGCAGATGAATCAGGAGTTCAAGACCAGCCTGGCCAACATGGTGAAACCCCGTCTCAGGAGAAAAAAAAAAAAAGCAGGGGCTTGGGACAATTTTGAAAAGCTCCTAATATTTTAGTATCTCCCTCCTGTCTTTTCAAGAACTGCCCAAGGAACTGGTCTTACCAAGATTAAAACACACTAAAGATTTAAAAAATGGCCCTGAAGGATAATGAAATAAAGAAAGACTACTCAACTTCTCCCTTGCCTCACAAGTGCAGTATAAACTCAGTCGAACAGCAACAAGCAGCCAGCCTCCTCTGGGTTCAGCACCTGCTTTCCTAAAGGATCTCCTGACCAAGGAGGTAGTTTCTTTCAAAATTATTTTTTTTATTTTTATTTATTTATTTTATTATTTTTTTTCCTGAGACTGAGTCTCACTCTGTTGCCCAGGCTGGAGTGCAGTGACGCGATGTCGCCTCACTGCAACCTCCACTTTCCGGGTTCAGGCGATTCTACTGCCTCAGCCTCCAACGAGCTGGGACTACAGGCATGCACCATCACGCCCAGCTAATTTTTGTATTTTTAGTAGAGACAGGATTTCGCCATTTTGGCCAGGCTAGTCTCGAACTCCTGACCTCAGGTGATCTGCCTGCCTCAGCCTCCCAAAGTGCTGGGATTACAGGCATGAGCCACCACGTCTGGCCTTTCAATATTATACATTCAGAGGTGACAAGACCTGATAGAAGTGCACAAAGTAGGCTGGGTGCGTGGCCGGGCACAGTGGCTCACGCCTATAAGTAATACCAGCAATTTGGGAGGCCGAGGCGGGCAGATCACGAGGTCAGGTGTTCAAGACCAGTCTGGCCAACATAGTGAAACCCCATCTCTACTAAAAATACAAAAATTAGCTGGGCATGGTGGCATGTGCCTGTAATCCCAGCTACTCGGGAGGCTGAGGCAGGAGAACTGCTTGAACCAGGGAGTCAGAGGTTGCAGTGAGCCGAGATCGCACCACTGTATCCAGTATGGCAAAAGAGCGAGACTCCGTCTCAAAAAAAAAAAAAAGAAAAAAAAAAGTGCACAAAGTATTGTCGCTTGACTTCTTAGTCATCTCATGCAGGCATGTTGTATGACCACGTACAAGAAGACTGTACAAAGAACCAGAGGCCACAGGTCAAGAGAAATGTGTTTTGTAACAATCAGAACTCTTCCTAGACTAGCACACTCTGCTGAGGCTCTCCAACCTACCCACATTCACAGGAAAGGGGCCTGAAGGTCTGTTTTCACTGAGCAAAATAATTTTACTACTGTTAAAAGTTAATTTGCACCAGGCGCAGTAGCTCACACTTGTAATCCCAGCACTTTGGGAGGCTGAGGAGGGAGGCTCACGAGGTCAGGAGTTCGAGACCAGCCTGGCCAAAATGGTGAAACCCCGTATCTACTAAAAATACAAACATTAGCCGGGCATTGGTGGCGCGCGCCTGTAGTCCTAGCTACTCAGGAGGCTGCGGCAGGATAATCGCTTGAACCCAGGAGGCGGCGGTTGTGGTGAGCCGAGACTGCGCCACTGCACTCTGGCCTGGGCAACAGAGCCGAGAGACTGTCGCAAAAAAAAAAAAAAAGTTGATTTGCCAGTTAGATACCATCTACAACAAAAGTTTCATTTATTTTTCCGATTCTAAGACACTCCTACATTTCCTTTGTCTCCTATGGCGAGTATCTCTTTAGGAGAAAAAAAATCAATCAAGTTATCACCATAATATTCACTTTCTCCTAAAGCAAAAAGAGGAAGACATTACCACTCTCCAAAAAGTGGTGGTGAAGAACCAAAGAAATTATGTTCCAAAATAGAACTCAGCCATTATGGACATTTAACCAGGCTCTCTGGTAGGAAACAAACGGTGAGCTTCGAGGTACACGAGAGGTTCCGAACGGGTCTCGGGAAGCAGCAGCCAGGCAGAGGGTCCCCCTTGCCAGAATCACAGGGCCGTGACACCGGCCTGCCTGGCTCGCGGGGGCTTTGGCTTGATTCGTCTAGTCTTAGCATCCAGCGTCCTGAAAATCACTCGCAGGAGCGCTATCTAAGAAAGAGGTAAGTCTATTTCTCAGCCAGGAGCAACACAACTCCCAGGAGAGCATCAGGGTGGCACCGGACACACTTCAGCGCTCCGGATCAGCAGAGTCCAGAGCTTCGGTCAGAGAAGCTGGTTTCCCGCTACTAGCCGGCCAGACCTCAGGCACTGGCGCTCTCCGACCTCCACACCGGCTGTTCCCCGGCTTCGGTGCCAGCATCTAGGAGGCTCGGCGGGCGGCCGGTCAGGACGCTCGAGCGATGTTCCAGTGATGCTCCACCGGAGCCCCGACCCCACGCGCGCCCACTCCAACGCCGCGCCCGCCACCGCCCTCCCCGCGGGCGTCAGGCCGGTCTATCGGCCCGGCTCCTGTCACTCACCCGCCCGGCCCGGGTACCGGGCGCCCACGGCTCCCTACGGGAGCTGGGCCCCCCGGGCCTCCAGGTTTCGGCCCGCCCCCTGGCAGGCAGCACAGGCGGCTGAGCCCCGCTACAGCGGCCTCTCACCGGCCGCTTGGTCCAGCTCCCGGCGCTGCCCACTGGGTACGGATCAACAACAAGATGGCGGCTAGCCGAGGGGGCGGGGGCCGGGCGTCATAGTAACCAGGACTGCAAAGAACCCGCCCCCGAGGGGTGCCATCCCCAATCAACAGTCTTTTTGCTCGTCGCCAGGGGAAGTGCTTCCCGCTGACAGGTCAGCTCACCTGTCAGTCAGAGTCTGCCTCTCAGTGCCTGTGCAGAAAGCGTGGGGCACGTGACTGTGACGGCATGGGTTTGCGCATGCGCTTCGTTCTTGTCGTGGCTGGCGGAGGTTTTGCTGGCGACTCCGAAGCCAGCTCGCCCTTGGCCTCTCTGCGTGTCTGTCCCCGGTGCGGCACCGGCGGCGTCTTCTCATACGTTTGCGCACACACAGGGAATCTAAGCGGTGTGCTATTCGTTTTTTTGTCACCCACTCTGGGAGAAGGGGGGTGCAACCCCAGTTCACTCTGGAGAGGAAACTGAGGTTCAGAGAGGGGAGGCCGAGCCAAGGTCACACCACCTCTAGAAATGGAGGTGCTGGGTCTCGCACCTCCTCCTACTGGTTTCAGTGTGAGGAGCCTCTATCCCGGCTTCCCGCGCTTTGTCCCTTAGTAGCCTCGAGGTACAGCAGTCTGTGCTGCCACAGCAGCCTCTGGTTCATTGCCCATGCTTTCCTGCCTGAGGTTTAGAGCCTAGCACAAGTCCTGACACACAGCGGGCACTCCCTTTTATCAGTCCTAGAGCATCTTGTCTTGAGATCCTATGACAGCATCTCTTGCCCTGGATTGTCATGACCGGCCTCATAGTAATGGTCCCAGGAAGATGGTCACACCTTGCTCCCCATACAGAACACCTAACTCTGGGCTTGGCTTCAGGCTTAGAACACCAGATGAAGTTACCTGGCCTGGGCCCACACCCAAATGCCCCAACTAGCTAACTCTTTTGAGCCTTAGCCTTTCTTTAGCTTTGGTTGCCCCATCTGTAGAATGAAAATAAAAGTGGAGCTTCTCAGAGGAAGATTTAATGAACCCTTAGAGCAGGGGAAGAACTCAGGAAAAATCTGCCTACAACCACTTCCTGGAACAACCTGCTTCCAGAAGTTGCTGTTGCTGAGGCGTGCCTTAAAACACTAACTTTGGTGGAAGCCCCATGAAGGGTTTTTGTTTTGTTTTGTTCCCACAGAAGGCACTCGGCTTCTTCCTGGCCCTGGGATACCATAACTGGTTCAGAAAGGGAGGCCCTCCTAGCCAGGTGCGGTGGCTCTTGCCTGCAATCCAGCACTTTGGGAGGCCAAAGCGGGCGGATCACTTGAGGTCCGGGGTTCGAGACCAGCCTGGCCAAAATGGCGAAACCCCGTCCCTACTAAAAATACAAAAATTAGGCCGGGCGCGGTGGCTCAAGCCTGTAATCCCTGCACTTTGGGAGGCCGAGACGGGCGGATCACGAGGTCAGGAGATCGAGACCATCCTGGCTAACACGGTGAAACCCCATCTCTACTAAAAAATACAAAAAAAAAAAAAACTAGCCGGGCAAGGTGGCGGGCGCCTGTAGTCCCAGCTACTCGGGAGGCTGAGGCAAGAGAATGGCGTAAACCTGCGAAGCGGAGCTTGCAGTGAGCCGAGATCCGGCCACTGCACTCCAGCCTGGGCGACAGAGCGAGACAAAAATTAGCCAGACGTGGTGGCAGGTACCTGTAATCCCAGCTACTCAGGAGGCTGAGGCAGGAGAATCACTTGAACCTGGGAGGCAAAGGTTCAGTGAGCTGAGATCACGCCACTACACTCTAGCCTGGGCAACAGAGCAAAATTCTGTCTCAAAAGAAAAGGAAAGAAAGTGAGGTTCTCCAGTGCCCTAAGGAGGTTCGGGCCCACAGACTCAACAGAGGAGGAAAGACTGTGATAACTTGGATTTACCACAGTAAGGTCCTCTTGGAGAGCTGGCAGAAGCCTGAGACCTGATGTCAGGCTGGGCATGGAGAGTGGGCCAACATTGCACCCAGCAAGACCTGCCCACTAGCAGATTGTTGCAGGCCACCTGGCTACATGCAATAGCTCAGGTCAGCACAGGGAGAGGTGAGAGCAGAGGAACCAGAAGAAACATCAGGAAGAAAAGTCAACAACCCTCAAAAGGGGGATTCTGCTAATCCTCCAGGACCAGCCATGCCACAGGATTCTCAAGTCTGCATCACCCCTCACCCCAGTGCAAAAGCTCCAAATCCTTCCCAAGCAAACCTCCACATACAGTTGGCAAATTGCCCTGAAGTTTAATGGGGTCCTCAAAAAGCAAAAAGCAACAGTGGTATAACTACCATAGATAACAGTTTGGAGGTTCCTCAGAAAACTATAAATACAGTTACCACATGATCCAGCAATCCCATTGCTGGGTATGTACCCAAAGGAAAGAAAATCAGTATATCAAAAAGATATCTGCACTTCCATGTTTGCTGCAGCGCCATTCGCAATAGCCAAGATTTGGAAGCAACCTAAGTGTCCATCAACAGATGAACGAATAAAGAAAATATGGTACATATGGGCCAGGCGTGGTAGCTCACGCCTGTAATCCCAGCACTTTGGGAGGCTGAGGCAGGCGGATCACGAGGTCAGGAGATTGAAACCATCCTGGCTAACATGGTGAAACCCCATCTCTACTAAAAATACAAAAAATTAGCCGGGCTTGGTGGTGAGCACCTGTAGTCCCAGCTACTCAGGAGGCTGAGGCAGGAGAATGGCATGAACCCAGGAGGCGGAGCTTGCAGTGAGACGAAATCACGCCACTGCACTCCAGCCTGGGCAACAGAGTGAGACTCCATCTCAAAAAAATAATAAAATGTACATATGCAGAATGGAGTATTATTCAACCATGAAAAAGGATGAAATTGACTGGTGTGGTGGCTCACGCCTGTAATCCCAGAACTCTGGGAGGCCAAGGCAGGAGGATCACCTGAGGTCAGGAGTTCAAGACCAACCTGGCCAACATGGTAAAACCCCGTCTCTACTAAAAGTAAAAAATAAAAAGCCGGGTGTGGTGGCATGCACCTGGGGTCCCAGCTACTCAGGAGACTGAGGCATGAGAATTGCTTGAACATGAGAGGCGGAGGTTGCAGTGAGCCAAGACCCTACCACTGTACTCCAGCCTGGG